ACATGTCTACCGTCCCATTCAACGAAATGTAATTATATACTTTTTCCAGTGTCCGCCCCTCCCCGAAAATTCTACCCCCGCCACCGAAAATTTCAAGTACCCCCCCACCCCTCTCCGGGGAGGAAAAAGTCTAAACTAAAACCACCCCCGCCCCCCCCCCACACACACACACCACCCCCCACCCCCCACACACCACCCCCCACCCCCCCACACACACCACATACACACACCACCCCCCCCCCCACTCCCACCCCTAAAAAAACATGTCTACCGTCCCATTCAACGAAATATAATTATATACTTTTTCCAGTGTCCGCCCCCTCCCCGAAAATTCTACCCCCGCCCCCGAAAATTTCAAGTACCCCCACCCCTCTCCGGGGAGGAAAAAGTCTGAAAGAAACACTGGTGTCGCGCTTAGCCACTACCCGAAGAATTGCATTAAAGAAATTGCAAGAAAACCACTTTTTAGATTAGACACATTAATTAGGCGGTAATTTTATTATAGAGTATCGATGAAGAAATTTCTTTTGAGTTGGGGAGGGGGGGGGGGGCTCAGACGTTCTTACGCGGGGGGTGGGGCTTCGCCCCTACCCGAAGAATTGTATGCAAGAAACTCTTCACGCAAACCATTTAGATTAGACAAAATTTCCTGTTTATTCAATGTTTACTCGAGAATCAATGACGTCATATTACTGTGTGCACTCTCCGGCTTGAGATTATAAATGTGGCGACGTCATACTTCGTTTTTCGAATTACTATGCAGGTTTTTATTTTGCTTGTGTTTTCTCTACAGCGTTCTTGTCAGATAGAATTTTTGCTTATGTTTTCTCTAGAGCGTTCTTGTCAGACAGAGCGTTCTTGTCAGATAGATACACAGATACACAGACAGCGAAACTATTATTATACGAGAAAAATGGCCCGTTGAGGAAGGTTACAACGGGCGCTAGGCTGATAGTGCTGTCTCTTTTCTCTAAACTAAAACCAACCCACCCCCCACACACCCCCCCACCCCCACCCCCCCCCCCACACACACACCACCCCCCCACCCACACCCCCCCCCACAAACACCCCCCCTACCCCCACCCCCCAAAAAAACATGTCTACCGTCCCATTCAACGAAATATAATTATATACTTTTTCCAGTGTCCGCCCCCTCCCCGAAAATTCTACCCCCGCCCCCGAAAATTTCAAGTACCCCACCACTCTCCGGGGAGGAAAAAGTCTAAACTAAAACCACACCACCCCCCACCCCACCCCCCCCCCCCCCACACACCATACCCCCTCCCCCACCCCCATCCCAAACACCCCCTACCCACCAAAAAAAACATGTCTACCGTCCCATTCAACGAAATGTAATTATATACTTTTTCCAGTGTCCGCCCCTCCCCGAAAATTCTACCCCCGCCACCGAAAATTTCAAGTACACCCCACCCCTCTCCGGGGAGGAAAAAGTCTAAACTAAAACCACCCCCGCCCCCCCCCCCCACACACACACCACCCCCCACCCCCCACACACCACCCCCCACCCCCCCCCCCACACACCACATACACACACCACCCCCCCCCACTCCCACCCCTAAAAAAACATGTCTACCGTCCCATTCAACGAAATATAATTATATACTTTTTCCAGTGTCCGCCCCCTCCCCGAAAATTCTACCCCCGCCCCCGAAAATTTCAAGTACCCCCCACCCCTCTCCGGGGAGGAAAAAGTCTGAAAGAAACACTGGTGTCGCGCTTAGCCACTACCCGAAGAATTGCATTCAAGAAATTGCAAGAAAACCACTTTTTAGATTAGACACATTAATTAGGCGGTAATTTTATTATAGAGTATCGATGAAGAAATGTCTTTACAGCTGGGGGGGGGGGGGGCTCAGACGTTCTTACGCGGGGGGTGGGGCTTCGCCCCTAACCGAAGAATTGTATACAAGAAACTCTTCACGCAAACCATTTAGATTAGACAAAATTTCCAATGTTTAATCGATAATCAATGACGTCATATTACTATGTGCACTAAATGTGGCGACGTCATACTTCGTTTTTCGAATTACTATGCATGTTTTTATTTTCCTTGTGTTTTCTCTAGAGCGTTCTTGTCAGAATTTTTGCTTATGTTTTCTCTAGAGCGTTCTTTTTTTGCTTATGTTTTCTCTAGAGCGTTCTTGTCAGATAGATAGATAGATAGATACACAGACAGCGAAACTATTAGTATTAATATTTATATACTAGAAAAATGGCCCGTTGAGGAAGGTTACAACGGGCGCTAGGCTGATAGTGCTGTCTCTTTTCTCTAAACTAAAACCAACCCACCCCCCACACACCCCCCCACCCCCACCCCCCCCCCCACACACACCACCCCCCCACCCACACCCCCCACCCCACCCCCCACAAACACCCCCCCCACCCCCACCCCCCAAAAAACATGTCTACCGTCCCATTCAACGAAATATAATTATATACTTTTTCCAGTGTCCGCCCCCTCCCCGAAAATTCTACCCCCGCCCCCGAAAATTTCAAGTACCCACACCCCTCTCCGGGGAGGAAAAAGTCTAAACTAAAACCACACCACCCCCCCCCCCCACCCCACCCCCCCCCACACCATACCCCCTCCCCCACCCCCATCCCCAACACCCCTCACCCCCCCTACCCCCCAAAAAAACATGTCTACCGTCCCATTCAACGAAATATAATTATATACTTTTTCCAGTGTCCGCCCCTCCCCGAAAATTCTACCCCCGCCACCGAAAATTTCAAGTACCCCCCCACCCCTCTCCGGGGAGGAAAAAGTCTAAACTAAAACCACCCCACCCCCCCACACACACCACCCCCACCCTCCCACACACACACACCACCCCCCCACCCCCCACAAACCACCCCCCCCCACACACACACCACCCCCCACCCCCACCCCCTAAAAAAACATGTCTACCGTCCCATTCAACGAAATATAATTATATACTTTTTCCAGTGTCCGCCCCTCCCCGAAAATTCTACCCCCGCCACCGAAAATTTCAAGTACCCCCCACCCCTCTCCGGGGAGGAAAAAGTCTAAACTAAAACCACCCCCGCCCCCCCCACACACACACACACCACCCCCCACCCCCCCACACACCACCCCCCACCCCCCCCCCACACACCAGATACACACACCACCCCCCCCCCCCACTCCCACCCCTAAAAAAACATGTCTACCGTCCCATTCAACGAAATATAATTATATACTTTTTCCAGTGTCCGCCCCCTCCCCGAAAATTTTACCCCCGCCCCCGAAAATTTCAAGTATCCCCACCCCTCTCCGGGGAGGAAAAAGTCTGAAAGAAACACTGGTGTCGCGCTTAGCCACTACCCGAAGAATTGCATTCAAGAAATTGCAAGAAAACCACTTTTTAGATTAGACACATTAATTAGGCGGTAATTTTATTATAGAGTATCGATGAAGAAATGTCTTTACAGATGGGGGGGCTCAGACGTTCTTACGCGGGGGGTGGGGCTTCGCCCCTAACCGAAGAATTGTATGCAAGAAACTCTTCACGCAAACCATTTAGATTAGACAAAATTTCCAATGTTTACTCGATAGTCAATGACGTCATATTACTGTGTGCACTAAATGTGGCGACGTCATACTTCGTTTTTCGAATTACTATGCATGTTTTTATTTTCCTTGTGTTTTCTCTAGAGCGTTCTTGTCAGAATTTTTGCATATGTTTTCTCTAGAGCGTTCTTTTTTTTGCTTATGTTTTCTCTAGAGCGTTCTTGTCAGACAGAGCGTTCTTGTCAGACAGATAGATACACAGACAGCGAAACTATTAGTATTAATATATATATATATATATATATATATATATATATATATATATATATATATATATATATATATATATATATATATATATATATATATATATATATATATATTATATATATATATATATATATATATATATATATATATATATATATATATATATATATATATATAGTTAGCTGAAGAAACTCATGGAGACCATAGAAAACACCCCGCTGCTTAGCCACCACCCTCATCCCCCACCTGTCAGGTGAGCTATGGTTCAACCCCAATGTTTACAATCGTAGAGGCTTTGTCCAACTAAGAACAAACTACAAGGCAGCAGTTGTTTTAAAGTAGAAAATAAAACACCTAAACAGCGGCGAACGCTTACGGCGCGGGTCAGCTCGTCTTAAATAATTCTATGAAGGATATCCAAGTTAATGGTGCTTGAGACAGCAACACTTTTCTAGTTTCACCATCCTTAATCCCCAACATTATTCTGTCTCGCAACAGTAATTATGCTATCTGCTCCCAGAAATTACATGCCTTTACCATTTCTTTTTCAGTCCTCAGATACTCCCTTATTGTTTCATTTTACTCCTGATTTTTTTTAATGAATTTAAACCTTTAAAATGGTTTGTGTATTATAACCACAGAATGTTCGCCAAAACTTGTGTTCTGTTGTGAGTCTTTCTTTCAGCCACTTGACCTAATTATTTTCTTTTCTTACAGTACAATAGTAATCCTACCTACCAGTTAAGCAGTTATCAAGCCTTCACGGCTATCACTCAGTAGCTAGTAATGTATTAAAATCGCTGTCAGTCACCATATTACAGTACTTAAATAGACATAGTTCTCTTATTAAACATTGGTACTCAACTATTATTGAAAGTTTAGATGAAACGTCTTGTCTCCGGCTCTTTACCTACAGTAATATAATTCGAGCTTAAATCAAGCTTAAATCAAGCGAAAATGTACATTTCATATCTAAAAAAAAGTAGAATCAGATACCTCGTGCTAATATTTTATTTTAACAACACAGCACATAAATATTAGGTTTAACGTCTAACCAAAATACTTTATAACTTTCGCACGATGGTCGCTTTTGTTTTTAGACACCTATATTGAAAAAAAATAGGGTCTTCTTTCTTGTTATACCTTAGTAATTCGCGTTATATTAACTGATATTTGATATTATTTGATCTTTTTATAGTTAACATTTTCAATCGAGGCTTAGAAAATACAAAGCAAAACTCTAAAGGCTTACAGTGTGTGTATCAGTGTGGTCTTCAATTTCACAAGAAGAAACAACTGCCTGTGATTGGGCTTGTGTAAAGCTTTGTCTGCAGTCGTCTACAAAATTTAAATAGCATACATTTTAAATTAGTAGTTCTAGTAATTAGAACAATAGAGCTATACTGTTTAACACAAATTTAAAAAAAACAAAGAGTGTATATCTAAACTTTTGAATAATGGAGGTATTATACAAAGTGCATAGTTATATAATGAAAACATCAATTATTTCTGTGTGTGATATGCAGAGCTTTATTTTAAATCTAAACAATACACTACCTGTAACACTTCTTTCCAGAGTTGCATCTGTTGGAAAGATCGACGTTATGTGTGGATCATATATTTTTAGAGCGTTAAAGAAAGTCTTTGCTTTTTGGGCGGATTTAGATTCGATGATTTTTCCAAGCAAAGCTGCGTTTCTTGATTTTTTGTTTTTATAGGCTGATATTTCCTCTTTGTCGTCATATTCTATGGCTTGCTCTTGAAACATGTAGTCAAGTATGCCACTATCGACATTGATTTGTTCTTGTAAAGTAACATAATTTCGTCTAAGTATATTTAAAAAATCCATTAACCTGTGAATACATAAAAACTGTTAAATTACAAACGTGCACATGCATACACACACATATATATCTTTTTTAATGTACCAACATGGGAACAGAAAACGTAAAACAAACACAATATCATCACAAACGCATTACAGTAACGCCAACAGAAACGCAAACATAAATACAGATAAAAATAAAAACGCAAACACAAATGCAAACTCTAACTCAAACATGAACACAAACGCAAACAAAAATACAAACACAATGCTGACGCAAAAACGCAAAATTAAACGCAAACAAAAACGCAAATACAAATGCAACACGCAAACAAAAACGTAAAAGCTAACACAAAATTAATACAAAAAGAAAAGACCATTGCAAACGCAAGCATCGCAAACTCAAAAAAACTACTAAAATTCTAACTCAAAATGAAACACAAACGCAAACATTTATCAAATTACTCTGTCCCGGACGTCCGCGCCCATAGAAAGCCTGTCTCATATTCTCTAATTTTACCATCCTTTTAAATAACACAAAAATGAGATTTTAAGAGATTATAGAAAAATAATAAACAGGGAGTGATCTCCCCTAAACTCTCTCGAATATTCTTATATAAAACAACAGGGGATGGGAACTCGGACTATAGACATGATCTTTAATCCATTTTAAATACTTAAAGTTATAAAAATAGAATAAAATCTCGTAGACAAAAGATTGCACACCAAGTGAACGCCAAGTAAAATGTGCGGAATATTATTAGTACTTTATAAATTTACATGCGTTTTTTGAGAAATCGGAAATAGCGCAAATTACTACTTTCGGTAAACAGAAATCACTCAAAATTTGAGAGCAGGTAGATAAGTAGATCTTTCACTCACGTGTGAAATTTCATTTATCTATCTGAAATAGTACTTAAGTTATAGGCTTTTGAAAAATTCAAAGTAGAAAAGTTCCACAGCCGGTTATCGGAAATCGCTCAAACGTTGATACGGATCTGCGATTTTGATATAATATCAATGTCATCAACCCAGCCGTAACGGCACTCACGTTATCGTGTTTACAGACACACACACACACATAGACACACATACATACGGACACGGTTGCAAAACTATGTTTTTTCGACTCAGGGGGGGGGGGGGGGTGTACAACATCGAGATCTGTGAAAATCTCGATTTTTTTTGCACCATTACAAGACTTTCTCTATACTTCGTATATTCGAGAAATTAAAAAAAATCAAATATAAAACTCTGTGTCGACTAATTAGAAAGGGTGTAGAACATACAGCCGTTAAAGAAAACATGCAAAATTCAGCTAAATGTATAACTGAATATAGATACAAATCGTTAGTATCTGAGCACAATTTAAAGCAATCATCGTGGGGGTGACGAGAGAGTTACATAAACTCAACGTTGCAATATATATGCCTGAGGAAAACGGCTTGGTTGAGAATCGTAATAAACTATATTTTAACCCATGTTTTGGGTGGGGGGGGGTGTAAACAAATTAAAAACATTCAGCAGAAAAAAAAATTATACACATACTCACAAGGGTATATGGAATATATGTAAATTTCTTAAGGGGGGGGGACCATCAGGTGCTGCGGAGCAGCGTGACACCCGATCTCGCTCCGCCACTGAGGTTGTGTTACTATCATACAATTTTGATACAAGAATGCCAAGAACAAGGAAGAGTGGCAGTGGAGATGGAGGCAATATTGCTCTAGTGTCCACCCCCGCCCCCGAAAATTTCAAGTACCCCCACCCGTCTCCGGGGAGGAAAAAGTCTGAAAGAAACACTGGTGTCGCGCTTAGCCACTACCCGAAGAATTGCATTCAAGAAATTGCAAGAAAACCACTTTTTAGATTAGACACATTAATTAGGCGGTAATTTTATTATAGAGTATCGATGAAGAAATGTCTTTACAGATGGGGGGGCTCAGACGTTCTTACGCGGGGGGTGGGGCTTCGCCCCTAACCGAAGAATTGTATGCAAGAAACTCTTCACGCAAACCATTTAGATTAGACAAAATTTTCAATGTTTAATCGATAATCAATGACGTCATATTACTGTGTGCACTAAATGAGGCAATATTGCTTTGTGAGCCATAAAATGAACGAAAAAACAAACCCAATTTTTTACAGAAAAAGGACAGGACAGGATAGCAAATTTCAGAACGTGAAAATAGGAGCAGATTTGAATTTCTACATACCTTAGCATATAATTTATCAAAATAGATCTTTTTTTTCTATGTTGTATTTTAACTGTATCATTATGTAAATGGTTTTAAATTAAAACTAAACATGTCTATAATTGTCGTTTGTTGTTTTCGGCCTATAGCTGTCGACCTTATTTCCTATCGGCCTATTGTCTTGTCGGCCTTTTAGCTGTAGGCCGTATTTATGTCGGCCTTTCGTCTTGTCGGCCTTATGTCCGTGTCGGTCTTTTGTCCGTATCGGCCTTTTTTCCGTGTTGGCCTTTTTGTCTATGTCGGCGCTTTGTCCGGATCCCAATTAGAGAATAATATGAATAATCTTAACATTCATCTATTTTAATTATAGGGTGTTGAAGTGGACTCCAATTGGAGTCCTGCCGGTTGGCGTTTTTTTAAACCAAATCTGAATATTTTTATTAAATCTTTTTTTTTTTAAGTTAGGAAAGCTACTTTCGCTTTTGGCTTCAAAACAAACTCAAGTTTTATAATCAGAATTTCACGAATTTAGATCTAGAAATCGAGGTAGAATCTAATATAGATTCTAAATCTAGATCTAGATAAAGAATTGACTTTTCAGATTTTAATCTAGATCTAGAATTTTATTTAGAATACAACCGACTCGTTAGATTTAGTTTTAGTTTTAGACTCTAAAAACTTTTAGAGTAAAATTTAGACTTTAGAGGTAGGGACCGTAGTCTAAACTCAAAGGAAAGATTTAACTTAAGAAGACGTCGTAAAGTCAAGTGACCAAGTCTAAAGAACTTTAGTACCTAATTAGATTCTTCTTAAGTGTACTAACTGAGTACTAAGTACTAATTAATTATTAATAATAGGCCTACGTCATACATACACTGAGACACTCATGCACTAAAATGGCTAAGTCTAACTAAACAATAAAACTAAGTTATAAACAGTAGATAAGAACTAGATTTAGATCTAGATATTCTAGATCTAGTAACAAATCGTCAAATAGTATTATTTACCATATCTAGGGCCTAGGGGCCTAAGTACTAAGTATTTTATTTAGATTTTAGATCTAGATCTCTGATCTATGCCTTATTTTAGTTAGACCTAGAATCTAGATCTATAGTATAGTATATGGCAGGAAACAGACCCAACCCTCAAGCATCTACTTTTAGGGTCAATTTTCGCCAATTTTCAAAGTAACAAATATTGACATATTATATATCAATTTTGTTGCTTTAACAATCGAGGAATTCAAAAATATAAAAATTAATAGCACTAGACATTTACATCACGTTCAAAATTTAGATTAACCACACTCACTCAAATGACATTTTTTTTTACATCTAAATGTAGTAAGGTCTAAAATCCACGAAATTCACAAAATTAACAATATAATTACACAGAAATGTCACTTAGGCATACATTTATTTGTAATTATGTCAAACTTTACAAAATATACCAGTTTATAGCTTATTTCTATAATTATTCTTGAAAAAAAAAACGACCGCTATCCCCTTTAAAAAATGTTCAAAATTCTGTCTTTTAAAAACATTCTGGGGAAGAAAAAAATAACAGAGTTAAATATAGAAGGTCTATATAAAAAATATTATTAGTAAAATATGTCTATATGCCAATTTTTATTATAGTTGCAGCATTTACACGGCTAATTATAATTGTTTAGTACTTTATAAATTAATTTAAAGTTACGACTTTCTGTGGCCTCATTCAAATAGTGTGGTGTCAGTGGACAGGGTGTTATGCTATGGCCTGATACGATTTCATTAGAATTGGTAATGAACAGAATGTATCATTAGAACTGGCCTATAAAAACAATTTTGATGATAGATGCAGTAGTTTTAATGCTACTTATAATAGATCAAAATGACAAACATAATTAAAACCTAAGAATCTGAAGCGGTGACCTCATTTTACTGACACGTTTGTCAAATAGTTAGTAAAATCGATCTAGATTTCTAGATCTAGAATCTAAGTAATTTTGAAAATACGCTAGATCTAGAAGCAAAATCACTTTTAAAAACTAAAGTTAGTGATTAGATCTGTAATGAAATTGAAATCCACAGCTAATATGTAAGTATCTTTTGATTTTTTAAAAAAAATACGCGTAGTTCTAAGAAAAAAAAAATTCTACGGTGTACTCGATCCCTATCCCAAAACGTGCCAGCCATATCGCATGCGTAATCAGCTACTCAGCTGCTTATCAAATCTTCGAATTTTAAATTTATATAATAAAAGTAGGTCACCCTAAAAAAATAGTACAATGGCTCCCGTTTTCACGACAGCCGTCACTC